ATTCATCATGTATTTGTGGAAAGTCAGATTGCAATTAGCATCTGGAAACACTTTGGTGCACTATTAGGTATAAGACACCAGATGATGCATATTAGAGGTGTTCTGAACAACGGGTGGATAGTGGAGTAGAGCCTAGGAATAAGGTTCATAAACTGTTGTTGCAGGTTACTCCAATTGTTATATGGTGGGAATTATGGAAGGAGCAATGTGCTTGTAAATATAGTGAGCAGTGAAAGTTTACCTTGCACAAAATGAAGCAACAAATCGAATGGACTATCCAAAGGGCAATGATTATGTCCTTCAATAGTTGCAACTGGAATTATCAATGGATGGACATATGTGTTATGGTGGAGAGGTTGAAACCTATTCCAAGACACACCCTAGTTTATTGGCAAAAACCAAAGGAGGGATGGATCAAAATTAACACTGATGGTAGTTACTTGTTAGATAATGGAAAGGCTGGAATAGGTGGGATTATTAGAAATTGGGAAGGGGACCTCATTATGGCATTTTTATGTTCTGTTAAATGCCATAGTAACAATATGTGTGAATCTCTAACTGTCAAGTTTGGTGTACAATGGTGTGTTCAACATGGCTACATTTTGGAGCTAGACTCACAACTTGTAACTAACATGCTTTTGATAGGTCCACCAACAATTACAAAATGAAAGAGGTGGTTGCTGATATAGTGCAGGATTTGGATCAGAGTAATATCTTAATTACACATTGCTTCAGAGAGGCCAATCAAGTTGCTGATTGTCTAGCTAAACTTGCTTCTTTCTTTTGGAAATAACTCCTTCTTCTACACTTACCAGGAGCTTCCCAAAAGTGTCAAAGGTCCTTTCTTTATGGATAAGTGTCAACTTCTTAGTATTAGAACTATGTATGATAAGGCCAACTTCTTTATTAGTTAAGATTAGAATATCTGTTGGAGCAGGTTGTAAATGTCTTGTATTTTGTCTATACTTTGTCCTACTCCTATGACCTTTTTTGAATGGATGGATTCCCACCATTCTTTTACTCTTGAGGTAAGGTTTATGTCCTCCTTCTTGTACTAGTTTTCTATGATATATACAAGGAAGGTAGGGGTTAACGCCAAACCCCCGAACACCACAAGAGGTGAAAGCCAGGGTGGTTGGATTAATTCAAAAAAGAAAAAAAAAATTAGACATGATTGTAAATCAAATAAAATATGAGGCATACACTTACATTCAACTGTTCAATTCCATATGATATATCATAATTTAAGACCTCTAACGTACTCCATTAAATTTTAAAAATAATTAATCAAACATTATGTTTTTTAAAAAAAGGAAGAATAAGAGCTTCCTACTTATACTTCTGCTGAAACCATATAAGTTTAGGTTGTCTATTGGGTTTAATAAACATATTTATCTCCTCTTTATTTATTTGGTTGAAACCATACGTATCTAAAAGCCTCCAAATTCCATTAGGTTTCTTCATCTAAGATCCTCCAAAAACCCTAGGATTTCTCTAAAATTCTTGTTTCACTTTCAAAATTTTGCGAATGGATTCCGATCATGATATTTATGATATGGATTTGGAGGAGGAAGTTTACAGTGATGGCGACACCATTGATGAACCCATAGACTCCCAAAACAAGAAAAATTACACAATCCTGAAAGATAAAGATATTTGTCAACTCATAAAAAAAGATATCTCAAAAACTTCATTGATTCTTTTGGCTCCAATAGACGTTTCATTAGCTCTTCTGCTCCACTATAATTGGAATATCTATAGAGCTAATGAAGAATGGTTCGCTAACGAATCCAAAATTCGCAAAGCTATAGGTATGTTATCTGAAGAAGAAACCGAAAACCCTTTGAGAAAAAGAACGTTTTCGTATTCTAATCGTTTTATGACTTGTGGGATCTGTTTTGAGGAGTATTCTCTTGATAAGATTGCATTTGCTGATTGTAAACATCCTTTTTGTAAGGTATGTTGGGAATATTACATTAGTATATCAATTAATAATAGTCCTAAATGTCTAGTCTTACGTTGTAACATCATGGTAGGTAAAAGTACGACTGTTATATTAGCGTCGGATAAAGATAGATTGAAATATTAGGATTATCTGATTAGATCTTATGTTGAAGAAAATTGGAGAATCAAGTGTTGTCCTACCCCGGGATGTAAAAATGCATTAAAAATATTTGAAATTTGGAGTGAAAATTACGATGTGATTTGTGATTGTTCTTATGGTTTCTGTTGGAATTGCTTGGATGAGAATCATCGTCCGATTGATTGTGATAGTACTATAACTAAGTGGAGAATTAGAAATCTTGAGGAAGCTGAAAATACGAATTGGATTTTGGCTTTCACTAAAAAGTATCCTAAATGTAAGAATGCTACTGAGAAAAATATGGGATGTATGCAAATGACTTGTAGGTGTTTGTACAAATTTTGTTGGCTTTGTTTAGAAGAATGGGGTACTTGTTATGGTAATTGTAATCGTTATGAGGAAAATAAAGAGATAAAGGAAGCCAAGAAAAATGTACTAAGGTACACACATTACTATGAGAGATGGATGTCAAATGAGAAATCAAAACAAAAGGCACTAAAGGATTTAAATGAGATGAGAGATGAAGGAGTGAAGAAACTAAGTGAATTGCACTATTTATTTGAGGATAGATTGGGATTCATTGAACAAGCTTGGAAACAAATTGTTGAATGTAGAAGAGTTTTGAAATATATGGTCTTAATTATGCTTATGGATCTTATTTGCCCGAAGAGGAGAAGACGAAAATGCAATTTTTCGAGTTCTTGCAAAGGGAGGCAGAGGAAGGTCTAGAGCGACTTCATCATTGTGCAGAGAAAGAATTATTGGATTATATTGGATCTACTGAGAAAATGGATTATACAGAGCAAGGGTTTTGCGAAAATTTCAAATGTTTTAGTTCGAAACTTATTTGGCTGACTAAGGTCGCTGGAGATTACTTTGACAACTTGGTTGTTTCCTTGGAGAATGGGCTCAAAGATGTGAGTAGCGGTTCTGATATTAATATTTCTAAATTGTGTTTGGTAAAGTAAGAAAATTTAATGGAACAACTGAGTATGAGATAATATTAGATACTGAACTTAGAAGAGGTATTTTGTTTTCTTTGTTTAGCTTAACAAGCTGGGCGAGAAATTATGGATTAGTAGTCTAAAGAATGGGTTGTTTCAACTTTCATACTTCAAGTTTTTGGTCCAGCTTGTATTTTTTCTAATATAAAGCTCATTGTTTCTTGTACTAAGTATGGTTTAATGGATGCAAAAAGCACTTTGACAATAATGCTGAGAATTCGAGGTGGCTCGAAAACCAACGAGCTTGATTTTCTCTTCTGAAAGAGGGTAATTGTCATATATCTGTGTTGAGATACCAATACCAATTTATTGCCGTCAGTTCATGTTGAGATACCAACAATAATTTAAGATGCGTGAAAGGCCTCGAGGCTTCGTTCCAATAGTAAAAACGCAACACGTGGTGTTTGAGTTACACGTACATTATGGGTTCATACCTTTCTGGCACCATAGGCAAAAGCGCAACACATGGTTATTGAAAAGGTTGGCCTAAACTGGATGATTTTATAGTGATAAAACGGTAAATTTATACCGTAATTAGCTTAATCTAGATAACCTTTTGAGAAATTAACTTTAATTTTTAGAAGTTATGCGTTATCTTTTCTCTAATTTTAACGTTTGCGTACAAAAATAGGACAAGAATAACTAAACGTATTTGTTGAAAGAAGATTGTCAGGTGCAACTTTAAACTAAACTCAGTTACATGTCATCATTAAAACTAAACAAACTTTAATAAAGCTCATCAATTAATGCAAAATCACAAGAATATTTAACCTACGTGGAAGAAAAACGTGTCCCATTTTCAAAACTAATTTCAACTATTTCTCATTTCGTAACGGAAATTGTAATAAATGAGTACTTGTTATTTTTGGACTTATATAAGCATCTCCCTCAGAAAGAACACTTCATTGGTGAATTGAGCCTTTTTGCCAGAAAGTTTTGATCATAGGGTAAGAGTCTATTTGCATCTCCTGGTAAATCGAGAAAAAAAGAAAAAGATATGCATTGATTAATTTTATTGTGTCTATAGCACTTAGAAAATCTGTTCTTGATTTCATCTATAACATCGATCGCATGTAGTTCAGTAACACTTCTAATCTTGCACAATTTTTCTCCTGTTGAGAAATGGTTAGCCTTCTCGATTATAATTACTAGTTTATTATGAGTTATATATTGAAGCTACAAAACTACTACGTACCATCTTTATCGAATCAAGTATGAATTGATCTTTTCTATTCAATCTAGATCCTCTTGCAATTGATATATGTAATATCGAGTATGCTAACGTGAATCTCGAATGGTCGTAATCAAATCTTTCAATCATTTTCGTTTTCTCTTGTTGTTAAATCTTTAAAGTCTTAGCAAGACTCTCAAACAATCTAACTTTCGTAGTCGTTCCAACCAGTCAGTCCGATCTAACTTTACTGTCTCTCTCTTCTCTAGTAGTCTAGGTTTCAATTCCAAACAAGTTCAGATTTGGCTATATGAGTTATTTGATAATGATGACTAAAATTATAAGATTGTCATGTACCTCATCATGCACCTTGCAAATCCTTCAAAAATTATTCATTCATTTTTTTTTTTTTTTTTTTTTTTTTTTTTTTTTTTTTTTTTTTTTTTTTTTTTTTTTTTGCTTTTTGTGTGTGTTTGTTCTTTCTTTCAATAAATCGAGGCTGCTTTTCTCTTACACATTTGGACGTGAAAGTAGAATACTTTATATGTTGCCTCAATAATTCTGAAATTAGTTAAACTATTGGGATACTTTATAATTTGTGAACTATAATAAACCCAGCCATTTTAAACTTAATTACTTTCATCGTGATTTTCACTTTATACTTTCTAGTGTAACGAAAGTAGATGTTTTTTAGTTTAGTTTATGCAGTTGTTTTATTTAATCTCCTTTTGCAGCTGCAATAATGGCATTGAGAATTTTGAAGGAAATCCAACTAGCACTTCTTAACCAAATGTTGAAAAAGGTAGAATATAATCTAACTTGTCTATCTCTATCTTGTTTATTCTCATTCTTTGTTTGTTTTCTTTTGATTGTTTTTAAGTGTAGTTTGACTTAAAAATTATCCTTAATTTGTCTTTATGCAGGATTTGGTGAATGATCAATTTGAACACCTCATGATATCTGGGAGGGCACAAAATCCTCAATTTGTAGTAAAAACTATAGAGGATTATTGTGCTGAAATCGAAACTATTATATCGCAAATGAAAAATGACATGTAGTACTCTCTAATCTAGAAAATTAGATATCTATACTTTTATCAAAGATATCAAATTTAGTAGCTCTACGATAAATTCGTTTTTCTATTGTTCATTTCGTGCAATAATTTCTTCACATTAATTTATTCAAATGATTTGCAGTGAGATTCTTGATGTTGATTTTTCTCATTTGGTTGTGTTATGCGACCAAGTCATAGAGAAAAGTACAAGGTGAGCTGTTTGTAATTTTCTGAAAATTTGCTTTTGCTTTATCGTCTCACGTAAAACTTATGCGATTATTTTTAAGCTCTTTTTAGATTCTGTAAATTATTAACTATGATCACTTATATCACTTGTCATGTACGTAGTTTAACATATAAAAATTTTATTTTAAGAAATTCAATGCTTGAACTAACACCAAAAATTATATATTTTGTTCCTAGTAAGCTGAATCCTTCACATTAATTGGGATATAGGTTGTATCTACTTTTATAGCCTATATAAAAATAAAAGGAGGTTTTTTATTCTTATTAAGTTCATTTAACGTTGTCAATTAGAAAGTCTCCATAAGTACAGATGAAGATTATTAATTGCTACAATTTTTGTTGATGGTACAGGATTGGTGCTGTGCATGTGAAATCTGCATGTCTGCTTCTCGTTCGCACTTGCGAGCAAAGAAACAAAAAGAAGTAAGAAGCTTCTCTCATTTTTATGCTTAAGTAAACTTTTGAGAATTTTTGATATGTCATATTATTTGTGAATTCTTGATCAACCCATAATTCGAGATATTAAGTTCTCCTTAATGTCAATATTGATAGAAAGTTATAGCTCAAACAATCCCATAACACTAAACACAGCTCTCTCTATATATATGTATATAAAATTCCCCCTTTTCCCTTATTTTGAGTCAGGTTGAACTAAGCTACAACGGAAAGTAAGGGACACCATTAAGATTACAAATTCCAGATATTTAGAAATTCTGATAAAATGACTACACTTAGAAATTTTGCAACTAAGCACATATAAAAATATTTATTAAAATATTTAAGCGAGAGATTATTAATTAAGGTCAACTCATATTGATCACACTAAAATCACAGGACGTTTAAAAGTTACCTTTGGTTTCATCAACAGCTAGTTATTTTTTGATTAATTGGATAATTAATAATATATATGCGCAAAAATTACAAAATAGCAGGCGCTAGCATTGCTTCATCAACAACTAGTTCGAGAAGTACTTATAAGTGTCAAACAGTAGGCACGGTAAACACTTATGCACATCGATTGTTTGCACTTAACTAAATACTTAATCTTAAGAATCATTAAATTAAAGTGAAAATGTATATCACTTAATCATGTGTATGCAAGACATATTCCTTACATTGTAACAATAATTAGTGACATAATAATCAAAAGTTACATTGTTACTTTAATTTGCTTTTGGTTTTGTAACAATTTCTTTCTAGTGATTGTCATCTTAATTAAATGGAAAAGGAAAACTATGATTGTTTTGCCATTATACTATTAACAAAAAAAATGATAATCATGTGGATGTTACTATAACTATTTTTCGTCTCATTCCGGCATCAATTGGCGTCATTTCAGGTTTTCCCAAACCTTGAGCAGGTTAAGGAATGATTTCACTACTACACAAAACGAGTTGGAAGCTTATGCTCGGGTACTCAGCTTACATAGAAATCACTGCTTAATTATCTTGTAACTTTTAGTTATTTCTTGGTAATTATAATTTCCTCCATCTTATTAAAAAATTCACTTAAACCTGCAGATGGAGCGAAGGATTATCTTAGTGCAAACGGATTATGCTGGAGACTCAAGTTCTTAAAAGGAAGATATTTTGTTGTACTATGAATATTTGGTTGCACTTATTTACAACGTCATGTATGACATTTTATCAGGTTTAAGATAAGTGATGGGAACTTAATTTATTACCTCTTTAGACTCTTGAACTTTGAGAGCGAATTTATTTCCTTTGATCTTGAATTCTCAGTGTCAGTTATTTGTTTCTTGATGTGGTGTGGGTAGTTTCGTTTTCTGAATTAAGATCAAGTCCTAGACTATGAGATTCTTTAACTTTGTGTTTAATTTTTTTCTTTTCTAATCTTTACTATTATCAGAGAGACTTTTAAATGATCTTGAATAGTCGTAGTATATATCAACTTTGAGATAGTTTTAAGCTCAAATTATCATTGAACACATGAATTTTTTATTTATTGAAACTATAGATATACCCGAGATTTATTTATTTTAAAAATTTGTATCAGAGTGTTAGTTGATTATTTGCACTTGCCAATTCCGAAAAGATTCATTATGGAAATATGATATATTGTCCAACATTCATTATGGAAATATGATTATATCTCCGACTTCAAGATTGAGTTTTAGGATTTTAACTACATCTATTTAAGAAAGTAATTAATCAATTCTCCAAAAATTAAAATGTAAAATTAGTTTATTCCTAAATTTGGTCAAATTATCTCAATCAACTTTAGATTGTGTTATTAATTTGGACCTATCAATTCCTATCATGCATCTCTATATAAGCGAAACACTATTATGTATTCTATATTCAAACATAAGTTGTTCACTCATATATTGTACTCCCAAGGGAAGTGCTCCTTTTTCTGTGTACCAAACATGACTAAAAAGGGGCTTAGGAATATTCAGAATCTCAGTGAAAGTAAAAAAAAAAAAAAAGCAATCTTAGATAAAAGAACAACAGCTTTATGTAAGAGAGCAGAAGCGCTGTCAATTCTCTGTATGATAGAAGTAGGTCTAATAATATATAGTCCTGTTGAAACTAATTCTTTTGTTTGGCCATCTTTAACCCATGCTGCGGATATTGTAACGAACTATTTAATGTTTACCGAGGTCCAAAGAGAAAATAAGTTAGTTAGACATGACGTCTACCTTCAAGAAAAAGTGAATGATATGGAAAAAAGTGTTAGGTCGAAAATTGAACAAATGGCTGAGAAGATGGAAATGAAGACTCTCTTCAACCAACTTGTCAAGGGAAGGAACATCAATGAACTCGATGTTAGACAAATGAAAGGTTTGCTAAAGCTATTTGATGAGAAGAGGGCTAGGCTTGAAGAAAGAAAGAAACAACTCAATGAACAGTTAGTAGATGAGAATGTTGCAAGTCCAAGCAGTGCTATAGGGCTTGGAGAATCAGAAGGTAATCCCAACGATGATGGAGAGAATAATGATGGACCTTGATTGAGCATGCAATACATTTATTTCCCTATCATTGTCTTTTTCGCTGTTGAGTTGTTTTTGTTGTTGTCGTCATTGTCATTGTTGTTATTGTCGTCGTTGTTTTTGTTGTCATTGTCATTGTTTTTATTGTTGTTGTCGTCAACGTTGTTTTTGTTGTTATTGCTATTGTTGTTGTTATTTTTACTGTTGTTGTTGTTATCGTCTTTTAATAGTATTCCTAGTTAAGTTTGTTGCTTATTATTTATCTATTTATGTTATTCGTTGTCATTTTAATAATATAGGAACATTATTCTATTTATATTCAGTCAACCTAGTTATATGTTGTCACGACCCAAAAATTAACCCGATCGTGATGGCGCCTATCATGGAACTAGGCCAGCCGACACATTTCCAAATAACTTAATAATTTATTAAAAGCTATATAATAACCTTTTTCATACTGAAATTTCCATAAAAGAGAATAATTCAAAAAACCAAAAATGTGAAAATTAAAGCCCAACCTCGGGTTTCACCAAGACATGAGAAAATACTACAACTGTTATGAAATATAACATGGCTAACATAGTGTAAGAATAGCCAAAATACACTAAAAGGAAGATAAAGGACGAGAAAGATGGGACTGTGATCGACAGGCAGCAACTTCGCTATCTCCGAGCCATCTTAATACTCGACTGATAACTGTTGTTGTAATAAAACTCCGCGAGCGGCAAAAACTGGTCCCATGAACCCCCAAAATCAATGACACAAGCACACAACATGTCCTCCAATATCTGAATAGTACGCTTGGACTGTTCATCTGTCTGGTGGTGAAAAGTTGTGCTCAACTCAACCTGAGTACCCAACTCTCGCTGCACAACCCTCCAAAACTGCGATGTAAACTGAGTACCTCTATCTAAAATGATGGAAACTGGGACACCATGCAGGAAAACAATCTTTAGAATAAAAATCTCAGCCAACCGCTCTGAAGAATAGGTAATACATACAGAAATAAAGTGCGCGAACTTGGTTAGACGATCCACAATCACCCAAATAGCATCGAACTTCCTCAAAGTCCGTGGGAGTCCAACTACAAAATCCATGGTGATAAATAAGTGTTACGAAGGATAAAGGGTAAACGAATTAAACGAATTTCGTTCAAAGTGGCCAATTTGGGATGAAATACGGGTCGAGTTATAATACCCGATAATTATGAACTAGTACCATTCAAGGTACCATATGACCACGGTAGTATAATGTATGAAGTATATATAAAGTATGTTATTAAGTAGAATTTTAAGTAATTTGAGGTAATTTTTAAATTTTGCGGGTAATTGGTTAGAAATCACTGCTTAATTATCTTGTAACTTTTAGTTATTTCTTGGTAATTATAATTTCCCCCCCCCC